AAATCACTAGTGATCTTGGCTACATAGTGTGTGAGTTTCAGGCCAGACTGCATGACATCATAGGACTCTCATCTCTAAAAGAAGCGAAGATAGGAGAGAAAGAAGTTACAGGAGTTAGGTTTGATGGTGTAGAGGAGCACTTTGCCCTAGCCGGTATTCTGTTTGGCAAGATGGATAATTCTGGAGTTGGCTATCCAGAGAGAGGAAGACTAGTAAGATGAATGATGTAGTCATTCATAATACTCAGATGAGGGGGGATATTTGCTCATTATTGTAGCTGGATAGTGTTTGTGGTTTTATCTGTGTTCACAAGACTGGTCTTGTTTTCATCTTGATTCATCATTGTCAAAGGTTGGCCTCTTCTGACAGTTGTGTTCCATGAAATTATTTATGTCCAATAGAAAACATCAGAGCCTAGCTGTGAATAGCAGGCAGGCTTCTAGCAGTACAAAAGCTTGTCAATCGCAGCAGGTTAGAATGCAAATAGTGTCTTTTCTCTTTCCATAAGTAAGCTAGAAATTAGGAAGCCATTTTTGTTTTTCACATTTGAATTTTCCTAATGTTAATATTTATGTCGTGAATGTTGTGACTGCAGATAACAATTATCTACTGTATATCTCAAAAAGCTAGAAGGAAGGTTTTGAATACTTTTGCCTTAAAGATAAGAGACATGTTTGAGAACATAGGTCTTTTTACGCTAATTCAACATCATATATATCTATATATCTATATATATTATGTATACCTGTATAAAAAAGTAACATAATATTCCATGGGTATATACATCTTCATGTTTTTCATATCATTTAATTTTTTAATTTTATAAAAATAAGCAAATAAAAATAAAGTCTCCCATTCCAAACTTTAGAGCGACATATATTTAATTCTCAACTCTGCTCCAAAATACTCATTAGCAAGTGGAGTAAATATTAATTATTGAAAATAATAAGAGTTAAAGCTGTGTACTTATTAAACCTCTCTGGAGTAGTGATTTACTTTGTTTTCTCAGTTAATTGCTAATAGGGGGCAAAGATCATCCTTATACTGAGAAATTAGTTAAAATATGCCTGTTTACATAATTGTATAATTATAATTGAATGAGATTGTTTTTTTGAGCTTCACAATCCCAGTTTGGGGGATGTATTCTGTAGATTTACCTGTATATGTGCAAAATGACACATCCAAAGTCAGTTCATCACAGAATTATTTATTACACCATAATCCCAGAAACAACCTATGTGTTACTACAGAGAATGATGATATAACCTACGGTAAATTCACCTGGTAAAGTACCGGGTGGCTATAAAAATAGAATGAGGAAACCATCTATATACTGCTATGGAACTGTATGGAAGATACTTTGTTAAGAGACAGAATACTGGAGGATAATAAAAGACTAAAGGGGAAAAGTTATACATTCATGTTTATACCTGTGTAAATAATACCACAAAGTACACATAATAGTCATCTTTTTTTGCAAAATGGGTACGAACATTTTTCCCTATATACTTTTATAATATTTTTTGAGCTGGGCACCAGTGGCTCATATCTATAATCCTAGCTACTCAGGAGGCAGCAGTCTGAGGATCACAGTTCAAAGCCAGCCTGGGCAGGCTCACAGACTTTTATCTCCATCTTGAGTTCAAGCCCCACAATGAACAAAAAAGGAAAAAGGACAAAATGAGACTCTTATCTCTAATAAAACACATAAAAATGCTAGAAGTGGAGTTGTGGCTCAAGTGGCATGTAGACCACTAGCCTTGAGCAAGAAAAGCTCAGAGACAGTACCATGCCCTGAGTTCAAGCCCCAAGACTGTCAGCAACATCTAGATAAGTAGAGATAGGAGAGAGAGAGAGAGAGAGAGAGAGAGAGAGAGAGAGAGAGAGAGAGAGAGAGAGAGAGAGAGAGAGAGAGAGAGAGATTTGCATCCTTAAATATACTACCTATTCTAAAATTAATTTGAAAGTATATGTGATAGAGACTGTCTTTATCTCACTCCATTCCCCAGAGGTGAGTATTTTGATCAGTGGCTTACCTAATCTTTTATTGTTTTCCTCTGAAAGAAACAAAACCAATAGGAAGTAGCTCATGTGATTGTGGGTCTAGAAAGAACTAAAATTTCAGGGTAAGCCAGTTGACTGGAGACCTGAGAAGAGTTGTTGTTGCGGTATCAAGTCTAAAGAGGGTCTAAAGGCAAAATTCCTTCTTCCTTTAGGGACCTCAGTCTTTTTCTGTTCAGGCCTCCATGTGGTTGAATAACCCTCACCCGCACCCAACCCCTCACGCAGAGATTACAAAGTATAAACTGTTTTACTAACACTTTGTGATTTAAATATTTTTAGAAATTACTTTAACAAAACTAGGTTTAGTTGGTTGATCCATGTAATCCTAGCTAGGCTGAGATCAAGAGGGTTGCTGTTCAAGGCCAACCCAAGCAGCATAGTTTTTGAGACCCCCATCTCAACCCATAGCTGAATGCAGTAGTATGTGCCTGTTACCCGAGCATCTACAGGAAGCCTTATGTACACAGATCATGGCTAAGTCATGTGTATATAAGGAGGGTAAGACCTTACTCTAAAAATACCCAGTAAAAACTAGGGCGGGAAGCTGGGTGCCGGTGGCTCACACCTGTAATCCTAGCTACTCAGGGGTCTGAGATCTGAGGATTGAGGTTCAAAGCCAGCCCAGGCTGTAAAGTCCATGAGACTCTTATCTCCAATTAACCACCAGAAAACTAGAAGTGACGCTGTGGCTGAAGTGGTAGAGGGCTAGCCTTGAACTGAAGAGCTAAGGGACAGTACCCAGGCCCAGAGTTCAAACCCCACAACTAACAAAGAAAACAAACCTAGGACTAGAGACATAGTTCAGCAGTAGAGTACCAGCCTAGCAAGGATAAGGCTCTGAGTTTAAAAGTATAAGGTGCTTGAGTACCTCAAAAGAAAAAAATAATAAATTACCTTCACAGAAACATAGAGGCTAGTTTTGACTAAAATGGTATGCCATGCTCAACCAAGTTTAACTATAATCACCATAATCAGCAAATCTCTGTTCAATCATAGTGTATCAATATGAATATAAATTTTTAATAGACTGGTAATATATAGCAGCTTTGGTACACGGCTTTTCTTGGATAACAACCTTGTATGATGTATTGAAGGAGACAACTAAAAGGAAATAATCCTTTTAAAAAATATAAAGACCAGTGGTTCTGTACTATGAAGAGTAGGAAAGGGAAGCAGTAGCTTCAAAGAATATGTGATTTAAGTTAATAGTTACATTTCATGAAAGCTCACACAAATTGAAAAAGGAAATATTGATACCACAAATCACAGATAGAAAAATCTACAAAAGAATGGCTCCAACCAGGAAGCATCCATTGAAAATGTTCAACTTCAAGGAAATACAAACTGACCCAGGTTAAAAAAATAACAGCAAGCTTGTTTATTTAAGAAAAAAAGATAAGCAAGATTGTTATGAAACCTCTATACAATCTATGATCCTGGTGTTGGAGTATACTAGTCATCCATTCAAAATTAGTTTGTCACAGTTAATCTTAAGTTATAAAATCATGCCCTTTGGTCCTGAAAGCCCTTTTCTGGGAACTAATCTTGAAGACATAATTCAAAAGATGCTACAAGGCATAGATTGACATGTTCTTGTAACATTATTCATGTAGTCTAAGAAATCTACAAGCTAAATATCCTGATGTCATAAAAGGACTTATTACTTCATTAGAATGTAGACATTAAGGAGGAGTACAAAGACTAGCAGTGAGGTAAATGAGTATTATATATTGCTGTATGTAACACAATTATGCCTTAGCTTTCTGATAATATTGTATAAGTAATGTGAAAATAGTCAAGAACAGATAGAAATGTGTAAAGCTACAAACACTTTGCTCCATTGATATATCAGAATTGTTGGTTCTCATTAATATTGTCATAATATTTTTATATACTATTAAAAATTAGTAAGTTTAACATTGTTACAAATAGTAGCCACAACAAGAATTATTATTTTGTAGAAACAAGAGACTTCAAGAATCATGTGATCCTACCTATTTCCCTTTGCCCTGCTATGATGTTTTCAGTAAAGAAAGGTCAGAGTGCTTGTGACTGTCATACCTGGGGACAGGCACCAGCGAATAGGAACAGAAGTTTCCAACTCTCTGCTCAGCCATTTCCTCTGTTGATTAAACCTGAAGAGAGGCCACAGAACCTCCATAGCCTAGATATGGAGACAAGAGAATTTGAAGGTCAAGCACATTTCTATGTCAATAAAATTAGGTCTCTTTCTAATATGGAAATAATAACTAGTATTGTTACTGACACTTTTTAGTTTCCAGAAATGTTTTATTTAGTTATTATGTAATAGCACTATGCCTTGTAGCATCTTTTGAATTATGTCTTCAAGATTAGTTACCAGAAAAGGGCTTTCAGGACCAAAGAGCATGATTTTATAACTTAAGATCAGCTGTGACAAACTGATTTTGAAAGGGTGACTAGTGTGTTCTGTTACCAGGATCATAGATTGTATAGAGGTTTCATAGCAACCTTGCTTATCTTTTTTCTTTAATAAACAAGCTTGCTGTATTTTTAAAGCTGTAAACTCCTTTTGGATTGTAGTTCATCTTTGTGCCCAGCTGAAGCATATAATCTGTATTTGTTTTTCAATGTCCAGTAAAGGAAAACAATGAAGAGAAAACACATCTAAATTTTTCATTGTGTTCTTCAGTTTTGTTTCCCATTTCTTGATCTTTCCCTCAGATAGGACTAACAGTTTCCCAGTGCCTAGGTGCCTGTGCTTTCATTTATCAGTTCTCATTTTCTAAAATCTGGAAGCTACTCATAGACAGATCTTGACAGGAGAAATTTCCTCATTACAAACTAGATTTGCCAGGGTGGATACAGGTGCTGTTATGGACTCAGATCCCTTGTTAGTAGTGCATGTTAGGAAAGGGGACTTGATGCTCACTGCTCTCTTGAACTTGCTTTTTCAGGGTGGATCATTTGTACACCTTCTTTGTTCAGTGGTCTCCTGATGTCTATGGGAAAGATGCGAAAGAGCAAGGCTTTGTGGTGGTAGAAAAGGAGGAGCTGAATATGATCGACAATTTCTTCAGTGAGCCAACAACCAAGAGCTGGGAGGTGAGCATTGGAGCAGAGGGGAGGCTGTTGTGGCCCCTAAAATACAAGACACAGCAGAAATGGCCTTGTATCCAGATTCTAATAGCTGGCTGATAAGGATCTTATGCACCTGCAAAATTGCCAGGGAAAGTAACTTCATTTTGTTTGATACTGGTTTTGAGTATCCATACATGCATACGTGCATGCCATTCATTCTGATCTCACTCAAAGGATCCAATGGTTATAGTAAATCAGCAAACTTTTCTGTAAGGGCAAGATCATAATGTTCTTGACTTAGCAGGTCAGATCTTCTCCACAACAACTACTCACCTCTGTTATTATAGAGCTAAAGCAACTACAGACAACATATAAGTGAATGGGCATGGGTACGTTCCATTCATAAGTTACTTTGTGTTACAAAACATTATTCTTGGAGCTGGGTGTGGTTCACAATCATAATCCCAGCGACGCAGAAGAGAGACATAGTAGAGTTGTGGTTTGTAGCCAGACTAGTTAAGAATAAGCTAGTGAGGCCCAATTTCAGAGAAAGCCAGGCATAGTATAATGCAACTGCTTGAGAGGCTGGCCCAGGCAGGGGGGAAAAAAAAGGAAGGAAGGAAGGAAAGATTGGAAGGAGAGGACTGGAGTTGTGGCTCAACTGATAGAGTACTTGCCAACAAGAGCAAAGCCTGGCATGGCAATAAAAATAAAACATTATTCCTTTGGAATTTTTTCTCAACTACTAAAAGTATATTTTAATTTTTTCTTACCTTGTGTGCTGTACAAAAATGGATGGGGGTGGCATGGTGAGTTATATTTACTTATATGGCAACCTACAATTTCCTAACCTCAAGTTAACTTTCACCAATCAGACAAGCATATATTAAGTACTCTATTGAGACAGGGCCTTGCAACAATGAATTTGGTGAGAAAAACACTGTTTAATAAGGTTCCAAAACCAGGAGATAGGCTTATTATCTCCTGCTAACGAGCCTGTTCTTCCTCCTCACAACTGCCTTTAGTGTTGATTCCATGCCTCCTTTGAGTTCTGTTTCTTTCCTACACTCTTCAAGCCTTTATCTCCAAGCTTACATGGATAGCAGATAAATTCATGAACACCTTCTTAGGATACATAAGATGCTCAGTCTTTCCTCCATCTACCAGTACCCATCTAGTTGCTTGCTGCCCTGGGAAAGCATCCATTCATACTTTCTCTGCTCCCAGGAGGCCATTCATTACCATAGAAAACATGTCAACCAAAGGTAAGCATTGCAACATGTATGCCTGTGGTCATAGCTACTCAGGACTGAAGAAGAAGGACTGTTTGGTCCCATGACTTTGAGACCAACCTAAAAATATAGCTAGAGCCCATTCCAAAAAGCAAAACAGCAACACACAATAACTTGTACCATCATATTCATATGATTTCTTAATTCATCTGGATCCTCACACATGATTAGAAATCCCTTTTTGGGTTGGGAATGTTGCTTAGTAGAGTACTCGCCTAGCATGCATGAAGTCCTGGGTTTGCTTCCTCTGCACCACAAAAACAGAAAAAGCCAGAAGTGTTACTGTGGCTCAAGTGGCAAAGGGCTAACCTTGAGCAAAAGAAGCTCAGGGACAGAGCCCAGGCCCTAAGTTCAAGCCCCAGAACTGTAAAAAAATTCCCTTTTCATATCTCTTAAGTTACCTCCCTTTTCTAATTTCTTACACACTTTTAAAGCTCTCTGGCACACTTCAGCCTCAGTGAATTTCAAAGATTGACCTTTTTTCACATTGCAAGAGGAGGCCATTGGACAAGTTTTCTCATCTACACTTACTTTTTTATTTTATTTTATTGTAAAGATGCTGTACAGAGGGGTTTCAGTTACATGAGTAAGGAAATGAGTACTTTTCTTGTTGAGCATATGTACCCCCTCCTTTGTTGTTCTCCCACTATTCCTGCCCTCCCCCACCTCCGACCCCCAACCCTGAAGTTGTAAAGTTCATTTCCAACATAGTGTCTTGTGGGTGTCATTGTTGCAATGGGCCATTTTGTGTCCTTGTTTCAGTGTTTTGGTATTCCCTAACCCCTCCCCAAATTAGATAAATGTATATACAAGATGCAGGGTACCAAATCAAGTAAATTGACAACAAGAGATATACCATAGGGAGAAGAACATACAAAGGAAACAAAAAAAATCACATAGTTCATTAAAAATAACAACAGCAAAGTAAGACCATATCTTGAGGTTCATTTTGCTTAGCATCATCTTATATGGTCATCTGTACATAGCTTTTGAGCTTTTCTACTCATCTGATAAAATTATTCTAGATATATAGTAATTATTGCAAATGAGGGAAACCATGGGACCTATATTTCTTTGGTTCTGGATCACTTCATTTAACAGGATTTTTTTCCACTTCTTAATTCACCTATTAGTGTACCATTTATTTTTGGCTCCGGGAAAGAGTATCTTTCTCCTCACAAAGGCTGACTATTGTTCTGTCATTTTTTACTATCCTTACATATGTCACTACTTTCTCTTCCTTGATGGTTCCTTATGTTTCTCCAGGGTGATTTAATAATTTTCTCCCCTTTTTCCTTTATCTTTCTTTTATTGTACAAAATAATGTATATCAGGATGGCTTTCATACATGTACACAATACACTTGGATCATACTCACTGCCTTCATTATCCACTCTTGCCACTCACCTTACCTGGTGGTGCCATCCTGTTCCCAAGTGGCTCTCTACTTTCATGTTAACTATTTTTGTTTATTTGTTTGTTTATCTATTTATCCTTAGTAATTGTACAAAGGGATTTCAATTCAGCCTCTCAGTTTATGAGTACAAGGCAACTTCATCTCTTTCACCCCTCCTATCATTCTCCCTCATCCACTGCAATCCTACCCATTCTCTAAAATTACCTGATTTTTCCAAGCTGTTTCCTACCTTCTTTTCTATCACCATCAAAATTCTTGATTAAATAATGGAATCATATTAATTGTCTTCATTTTCTCAGCTACTCTTAATTTCTTACCATGTTGTAGTCCAGTTTCTCCAATCACTATTGAAGTCACCTCTACAGTCTCTATGGACCCCCCAATTTCCACCATCATTCTGTACGCATGTCCGTATACCCCTCTCTCCCAAGATACGGTATTCCACAGCTCATGATGGGCCCCTTTGGGCCCTCAGGCAAAGGTTACATGACTGACTAAGGAACACCAGAATGTTAACTCCTGTCCTCACCTAGTCATTCCTGCCCAAGAGCCTCTCATGAAATACGAACACTGAGAAATCCAAGCCAGGGAAAGTGTCTTTTTTAACAGAGATGTGACTTTTACCCCAATACAAAATTCCAATACAAAATTCTAGAAAAAACAATTTAGACCCATGGAGGATTTAATTGTTCCCTGACAAGGCCTCAATATCTTTTGAGTCATATTTTGCTATGACAATTTCTGTGGGAGATGAGGGCCATACACACCAATGTAAGGGCAGAGTGAGAAGGTCTAGAGAGAATCCAGAAGTCTACCCAAGACCTTCTCAGGGCCAGCCAGGAAGATGAAAAAGAAGGCAAAGCCTTCTGGAAGGTAGTGTCTGGACTTGTAGATGAGAAGAGTTCAGAAGGAAGAATCAGTGAGTTGACCTTTTCTAAGTTCCTGGTGCTCTTGCCAAGGTTTATAATGTGGGAGAAAAATACCAATACTAGTTATATAGGGAAAGATATCTGGAAAGAGGTGACTGGACTGGTTAGGCCACTTATCTCTGCTTTCCTTCCACATGGAAGACAGAGTCCAAAAGTGCTGTGAGTGGGAAATGCTGTCCACACCCAGGTAGAAGCAAGCTCCACTCACTGGCACGCTTGATTGATCTCAGCATTACAGTATTTTCTGCCTTAAAAACAAAATTCTATTTGGGGGCTGGGAAGGTAGCTTAGTGGTAGAGCACTTGTCTTGCATGCATGAGGCCCTGGGTTCAATTCTTCAGCACCACATAAGCGGAAAAAAACCAAAAGTGGTGCTGGCTCAAGTGGTAGAGTGCTAGCCTTGAACTGAAGAGCTGAGGGGCAGCGCCCAGGCCCAGAGTTCAGGCCCCACAACCGAAGCCCCTCCCCCCAAAAAATTGTATTTTATTTTATTGTAAAGATGATGTACAAAACAGTTACAGTTACATAAGTAATGAATGAGTTCATTTCTTGTCAAATAATGTTACCTCCTCCCTCATTTTCTCCTACTTTCCCTCCCTCCCTCTGATTTTTCTATCGTTTGTAGGTGAAGCTTTGCCTAGAATAACTTTCTTCTCTCTATGGGTTTATTTCTATCTTAGAATCTCAGGGACTTTTCTACAGGGGATGGCTTGAAATTTCAGCTCTTAGATCTCAGCCTCCTAAGTAGCTAGTATCGTAAGTGTGAGCCACAGGCACCCAGCTTCTATTTTGTTTTAGGATGCTTTCTAGATGTTGAGAGAATATATCTTTCTTTTTATTTTTATAAAATGAGATTATGCTCTGTGTTGTGTACCTGGCTTTATGATAACTGATATGTTTTGAGGATTGTATCATTTTAAGGATTTTTTCATGATTGCCTTGTATTTTTATTTTAGTTTATTTAACAATGGCTTGCTTTGAATCATTAAATGGATTCACACTTTTCTCAAGGATGAAATGATCTACAATCTTTTTTATTCCATTAGTCCCCTGGAAATGAGTGTTTTAAGGCTCCAAGTTTCTAGTATAATAGCAGCTTAATTCAGCAGTAATGTGAAGGAAAACCTTCTATGTCTCTGCCGACAGTAAGTGTTATCATTACAATTCCCTTCATCCACCCTAAAAATGTTTGCTAATTTGAAGTGAAAATGTGATAACTTAATTTTTATATCCTTGACAAGTTTTTATATCCTTGAGGACAGAATGATTGTAAATATATACATATGTATGTATGTATGTGTATATATATATATATTTATTTATTTATTAGTCACTTGTGTTTTTTTCTTCAGGCTGCTCATTTCCACTGACTAATTTTCCTAGAGGATCTTAATAGCTCTGTCATACTGTTTGAATGCTTGCTAATTAAATCGAGTAATTCTTTAGCTCCTTGTTTGTGTGTTTGAGAGAGAGAGAGAGAGAGTTGCTAGGGATTGAGCTCAGGGCCTCACACTTATTAGGCAGGTACTCTACCACTTGCCATGTTCCCAGTTCTATCTCTTCTATTTTTAACAGATACTACTATGCTCTTTTCATTTTTATTTATGGATTTTATTTAATTTTTCCATTTTTTTCAGTACAAAGGATTGAACCAAGTGTTTCATACTTGATTGGCAAAATCTTCTCAATATAAGCCACACTCACAGCCCTTTAGTTTGCATTTTGTTTTTGAAATAACACCGCTCTCTTTGCGTGGGCTAGCCTCATACCTGCAATCTTTCTACTTATGCCTCCTAAATGCTAGGGTTATAGGCATATGACACCACTCCTAGCTTTACTTCCAGTGGTTTTATTATAGGTGGTCCTATATTCTCAAATTAAACAGTGCTCAATCTATAGTTGATTTTCTTTCAATGTTTGATAAGTGATAATTTAATAGTATTTATCTCCCACACTATTGATTAATTTCTGAGGTTTCCAACATCATATTAAAAGGTTTTATGTGTACTATTCTATCTAATTTATCATTTAAATATATAAGTATACTCATATATTTCCATGCTTAAAGCCCTTAGTACCCTTATCCCTTGACTATAGTAATTACCTACCTAGTTCATTTGTTAGAATAGCCAATTGATTTATTTTTAAACTGAATACTTGATTCTTATCAGAAGAGATTAATTCAGCAGGTGTGTAGGAGAAATGATGGAATTTGTATTTTCCAAAGTACCCATCTCAGATAATTTTGAAGAACAGATGCATTTTAGACATTGTGACCCATTAGACAAGTTCTAGGCCTCTTCTCGTACTCCTTCAACAGATTTTCCCCCCTAATACTGGGATTTGAGCTCAGAGCCTCATGCTTGCTCTACTTTCTTGCTCATGGCTGGTGCTTTACCACTTCAGCCACAACTCCAGTCCAGCATTTTGCTGTTAACTGGAAGTGGAATCTTGTGGACTTTTCTGCCTGAACAGGCTTCAAACCTTGATCCTCCAAGACTAGCTCTAGAGTATCTAAGGTTACCAGTGTGAATCACCAACAGCTCAACTTTTCCTTCAACAGATCTTATCCACCTGTCTCATTTCTCTTCCTTTCCTCTCTATTTTCCAGCCATATCAACCCTAGAATCTACCTCTGAATTCTTGCTATGCCCTCCATATTGCACATCTCCCCACTTCCCATTCCCTTCTTACAATTCCAGCCACCCTCTTCTCCGTGAACAAGCCATCTTGGCACACCCCAGCTGTCCCCAACTTCTTTTGTGCTTCTGGAGTTTTCAGCACCTGTATCACCTGGAACGATATTCACTTACTTCTGCTTCTGTACTGTTACCCTGTCAGCCATGGGAGACTGTGGCCTGCTTTGTGTCCCAGTATCCCTGGCAAAGCACTTGGTACTCACTATCACATAGTGTGCTGTTTATGCTTTTTCTTGACAAAGAATGCCAGTGATTCTGCCCCAGGCTCCTGCCAGGAGGCTCAGTTCTGGCAGATCTATGACTGATGACTGAGCCTGCCAGAGACCACTTTGTAACTTACCATGCTGGCTATGCTATTAGTACTGTGATCTCCCGCATGGTGCTGAGAAGGAAATGACACTGAGATCTAAAAGAATTCCAGGGAGATGGGTGAAAATTGATCCAGCAGGATCTCCGTTTCTTCCCAGCATACTGACATCTGATCTGAGGAGGCGAGGAGGACTCATCATGTTCATTATTTGCCAAGGCTAATTTTAAAATGTAAAGAGACAAATATTACTTGGGCAGCTGTTTTTGCAAGATGCATCTAGTATGACAGCTTTTACATCCTCATATAACCAGATGTTTTCCTACCCTTTTATGTCCCTCACTCAGTAATTCTGATTGATATTGAAAGCGTTCACTGTGATGGACCTCCCTCACCTAAACTCTGTGTTCAGTCGTGGCTTAAGAGTCAAACACACGCCAGGCACAGAAGAAGCATTTTAAAATGGAGCCTCAGCTTTAAATTATGGTATACGTAGAGGATCCCAGTGGAGTAACTCCTTTGAACAGTTAACTTACAGTTTAACAAAATGAATACCAGGAAGCTGAAACATGTTGCTGTTGTTGTTTTTAAATCTTTAGAGTGGGTTAGGGATTAAGTGGAGGGAGATAGACACATGGAAAGAGGACCGGTGGGCAAATACAACCGTAATATGAAGTATACATATGTGAAATTGAGCCAGGTAATTTGAGGAAATTGTGAAAGAAGAGGTGACATTGATCAAGATGGATTATACTCATAAATTGACACGTTAAGTACAACCCTTTTGTACAACTACTTAAAGAGAATAGTAAAAATTCTTACAAGGGAGGAGGACGGGAGAAGGGGGAAGAGAAGGTACTGAAAGAAAAGCGAAAAGGCATGGTGAGACAAGCAAAGTTGCCCAGAGGGCAATAATGAGGAAAAGCACAAGCGCGGGGGGGGGGGGGGGGGGGGGGGGGGGGGGGGGGGGGGGGGGGAGCAAAACCCTCAAACAATAGGGTTTTATTGTACTCTTAGGAAACTACCCTGGCAAAGGTGAAAGTGTCATTTTACAGCCCGAGGAGAGGCTGTGTCTGACAGGAAGTGTGTTGGCTCTAAATCCTAATTTGGGCGTGTTCCTGTAGAAATGCTGAACCAAACCTCCCTCCTGAGGGAAACAGAAACTCAATCATGCAGGAAGCGAGATACTGAAAAGCAGTTGTAGCTCAGCGTGGCTGCAAGTGACTGTGGTGTGGGGAGCAGCAGCTAGAGCAGAAACCTGTTCCTCATTAGAGAGTGAGCCAGTAAGCGGACACTTCTCTCCGGTCGCAATGAGAGGCCAAAGACTACCATTGGACGCTCAGATTCTCTATTGTGCCAGACCTGACCAAGAGCCTTTTGTGAAGGTATGTTGGAGTGTGTCCCCAGGGATGATAAGGTGCAGTGAAGGCTCAGCAAGCTGGCACTCCATATGTTTTGAAATTCGTTCTAATTGGATTGAACTGTGCTAACATTTCAACCAGAGCAGATTAGTGTATTCATTGTGGAGATGGATATAATGTGGTTGCCCCTTCCTTTTGGAACTAGAATTGTAAATTCGGGTGCTTGCTTGCTTGCTTTCTTCCTTTCTTTCGTTCTTTCTTTCTCAGCTTCATTTTGTCCTTTAGCATGTGTAGAGTTTGCCAAACACATGTGACTTTATTTAATACATTTAAAAGCTAGATTTGTGATTCTTCAAGTTTTTCTCTCTCTCTGTAAGTTCTCCATCAGAAGAGGGCAAAGTTTATAAGCTAGCTGATTTCCCTATCAGTAATCTGGCTCAGGTGGCAGTGGGTTCTTTGTGTGTGTCAGTGTGTTCTTGGTAATTAACTAATGCATTTATCTAATAGCTTTCACTAATTGTAACTTAAATACGTTTTTTTTCTATGTGTTGTAGAAGTCATTAGTAATGGTTCCCAGTGATTTTGGTGTAATTAGTTGCCTTACATAGCAAAATTTCAAAGCAGTTCAGTGATATATTTAGAGTCTCTTAAAGATCCAAAAATGGATTTTAAGCTGAAGATTTTGTTGGTTTTTTAACATAGCTGCAGTTAAATGATAAATATTATGTACAATTTAATGTCTGTCAGCCTAGAGAGAATACTTTGGCTATTTCTGAATCATATATAAAGAATAGCTATCCAGTCATAATTTAAAGCTTCCTTCTCCTGTTATTACTCCTGGTAGCTGTTATCAATTATTATTTCTATTAGATTTAGTTTCTAGGTACACAACCTTAGGAGAAAACACCAGAAACCTTGATTAAAAACTATCTTTATCATTCTAAACTTCCTATTTATAAAGACTTACCAAGCAATCTCTGATTACTTCCTTGACAACTCAAATTTAGATGTGGGCTAAAGGAGAATAATTTAGAGCATTTGCAAGGGTATAAATTGCTTGTGGAGTTATAAACAGTTCTCGTGCAAGGATGGAACAATCAGCAGCAATAGCAAAACTGGAAAACTGGTGACTTTAATTCATGCACATTCAATGCCTTGGCTGTCATGTGTTAAATTCTCCATTTTTTATGGTTTAAAATTTTTTTAGCTTTTTCCAAAAGTCTTGCTTGATTTATCTCCTACTACTGAGGTGGATTTTGTAGCAATTGAGGAAAAGCAAACCTCATCGTTTGTCCTGGATTGTTCATTACCTCACCCTAGATCATCACTGTGGAAGAGGCAAAGCGCAGGAAGAGCACGTGCAGTTACTATGAGGAGGAGGATGATGAGGGGCTGCCAATCCTGCAGCCCCACAGTGCACTCCTGGAAAACATGCACATAGAGCAGGTGGGTTCTCCTGTGTCTTAGCACAAGTGTCTTCCGGCCCTTACAAAGTGTTCCCCATCCTTGCCTCCATTTTCTCTTGTCACTCAAGGTGAAGGGTGAGCTAGATTAGAAAGGAAGAACATGGTCACCTAATCAAGGGCATCTCTCCTCTGATTCTGAACTGTTACACCAGCTCTCATGGAAATAGGAGGAATTGATCAAACGGTATCATCTATCCAGAAACCTAAAGAAAAAGCCATTTCTTAAAAAAAGAAAAAGATGATGGTGCATATCTATAATCTTAGCCCTCAAGATTCTGAGGCAGTAGAGTGGCAAGGCAAGTTCAAGCCTTAGTTACATAGGGAAACCTTGTCTAAAAAGAAAAGGAAGGAAGAGTCTTCCTTTATTTTGTTTGTCATTTTCTTTGGATACCTTATATCTTCTGAAAATCTCTCAAATAAACTTGATGAAGTAGCATGTGATGATATCTGAACCCTAGTAAGAAGTTTTTGTACTTCTTATATTAATTAGCTTAGAAATCTGAATTTCAGAAACCTAAAAACAATCAGGTCCTGCCTCAATTTACAAATGAGTAAGGGAAGACCCAGGAAGGTAATATGGCTTGACCATTCGGCTATTGAAATAGGATCCATGCTGCCAGTGGCTAGAGCTGACTTTAAGCACTGTGAAGACTTAGCCCCTCATAGCTTCCTTTGATAATATTTTTGAAGCGATATAAATTATTGGTATTTATGACAGCTAAGTTTAAGCTAATTATAGCTATAGATGACAAATTCAAGATAGTCTGATTTCTTACCAAAAATATTTTGTTTTGTTCTGTGGGAAGCTGTAGTTGTCACTAGCACCTTTGAACCTATAAAGTGAGAAAGAATTGAAATAATGTGAAGTGTTTGGCAAAAGTCAGATTAAATATGAAGAAGTATATGTGTCTAACTCATAGGACTTTCACTTGATCTTTATCTTCAAACGTATAGTCACAGGCTGCATAATGATATTTTGGTTAGTGAAGGATTGTGTATATGGTGTCATTACATTCCTTAGACTGAAGTCATGGCTCAAGTGGTAGAGCACCTCTGTTTTGAAGCTTGAGGCCCTGAGTCTAAACCCCATTATCACCTCCCCCAAAAAAGGAAGGATACATTTTTTTTAAAGATTAGTTACATTATGGACACCTTAGTTTGCATTGGTACACCTGTGACATTCATATAACCACATTATCTGATACCACATTTTTTCAGAATATATATCCATTGAAAATCAACTCATGACTGACTGTACAATTCACAGAAGCCCAAAGATAGGCCCAGTGTGGGGGAAGCAGGCTTTAGGCAGCACCATTACCAATGTGAACATTCTCAAGCATTGGTTTTTCCCTTCTCTTACTCAGTTTATGGTGATAAATACTTGACGGGGGTATGGAGGAGGACTATATATGATTTTGAATCTGAGCCATAGGCCCGTTTTTATGCCACCAGTTAATGATGATTTGCAGTTGAGCTGTCTATTTACATCTCCTTCTTTGGATTGGCAGCTGGCCCGACGCCTTCCAGCAAGGGTGCAGGGGTATCCATGGAGACTGGCCTATAGCACAATAGAGCATGGAACCAGCTTGAAAACTCTCTACCGGAAATCAGCGTCTTTGGACAGTCCTGTCCTATTGGTCATAAAAGATATGGATAATCAGGTGAGGCCTGTTCCTCTCTTGGAGAACATGTTCTAAAAATCATTTTTAAATCTACTCAACAGTAGATTAAAAAGAGTAATGCGATGAACTCTGGTCGTCTAGATTCCAGAACTAGCTGATTCTGCCACATTTACTTCATCTTGTCTATCATTGCTTTTTTTTTTTTTGCTATGGTATTTTGAGGTAAATTCCAGTTGCTATGTCATTTCTCTTCTACCTATTTCCCACAAGTTACCACTTGGTTATGTGTATTCTCTCTTGGTGCAGGTCCTCAACATCTCATGTCTGTCCATGTTTAAGAGACTAAGATCCAGTGTAGATTAAACAATTTCATTGTATATATAGGCTTAATGCCTCTTCCCTAAGTAAATTAATAGAACAAATGATAATAGACATTTTGTGCAGAATCATAGTGCTGTGGACCTAACACACTAACAATAATTCTCTAGTATCATCCATTCTTTGATTCTTTCCATGATAGCTTAAAAAAAGCTTAGCTGAGAAAATACTACTATATACAGAATCTAAGTAGTTTTTCCTATGGATTCATCTGGAAGAGATTCATCTTCTACCAATGGCCATTATCCTTCTTGCCATATTTTAGTATCGTGCTTTCAAAAGTAGATACCTACCTGTTTTATTTCAGTTTTGATCAAAAGATCTATAGAAGAGAGAAAAAGAAATGTTGATATTTTGTTAGTTTTTCTTTTTTTCTTTATTGTTAGCAGTTCTAGAGAAAAGTTTGGTATCAGGAACTATGAAAATAAATGGTTAGAATTTCTGCACTTCAGCTCCAATACTTTCTATTGTAAGCATACCTAATGAAGACACACCACTGTTTTGACCCATTTGAAATAATTTTGAGAAAAATGTGAGCTATATCAAACAACCTCCATTTAAAGCCATGATTCTGAAGTGGGATTTGGAACAGAAGGAATATGACTCATGAAGGCACATTTTCAAAATGTATATGCTCACCCCAGCCAAGTTTCACCCCTGCAAATACTGACTGTGATCTGAACAGGACAGGAAGCTGAGGCAGTGGCCCTTGATGTTCTAAAAACACTACTCTTTGTATAACTTGGTTCTCTTTCCACCGCCTATCAAGAAAAAGTCAAGAACCCTTAGTTTAAACCACATCAAGATCATATTTAAAAGCTTGTAATATTGAAGTTACTTTTTTATTAAAAGTCAGATATGCTAATCAGTCATATTTAGATTATAGTTTTGGTAAACATTGATAAATTCCTTGTTACAAATCAGAATGGAGAAAAATTTATTTTCTTTGAGGAAGTGTTTCCCTATGATTGTCCTTATAAAACAATGAGATATAACTGTTCTCCCAAGCTGCCATTTCCTTGTATAAGTGCATCTTCATGTCTTTCAATGTTTCAATGTGTTGCAAAAGAAACCTATGTCCATGATGGACTTTTAAGTTGGTACAAATTATTGCCTTTAGCAAACAAGTTCTCAGAGCTTCTCTGATGGATATTCCATATACTTGAAGCTTGACCATTTGGGTTCCAATTAGAGCTGGAGACATTTTGTTGATTGGTTTGGTGCTTGTTTCTTTCCACTTAAGAGTTCCAATGGTGCCAGTGGCTTTCACCGTAATCCTACATATGCAGGAGGCTGAGATCTGAGATTTAGAGTTCAAAGCCAACCCAGGCAGGGTCAATTAACTACCAAAATGCCCAAATAAGAGCTGTATCTCAAGTGGTAGATACTAGCCTTGAACAAAAATGCTCAGAGATGGGGCCTACGCCCTGGTTTCAAGCCTCTGAACTGGCACACACACACACATACACACACACACACACACTCACACATACTCACATGCACACACACACATACACACAGAGAGAGTTTCAATTTATCAATAGTGTTTGCCAAAAGAGGTCCAGTGAGGTCTCTGAATAAGACTGTCAAAAATATTTAAGAAAGCCTTTCGATGGGAAGCTTTGAAAAGTTTTGAAAGTATTTAACATTTTTTTTTCTTTTAACAGATTTTTGGAGCATATGCAACTCATCCTTTCAAGTTCAGCGATCACTACTATGGCACAGGCGAAACATTCCTCTACACATTTAGCCCACATTTCAAGGTACCCAGCTGGGAGAAGGAACAAGGATAGGATGTCCAGATACTGGACAAGGAATAATGCTATCACCTCATCTACATTTATTCCAGATTGGATCAGTTCTATATGACCATAGCACACAAAATGTTTAGGGTCTCCACTTAGGAGTTGCTTAGCATGGGATTTAGAAAGAGGATGCCGATGAGAGTCAGACATCACTGAAAGGTCTTTCCCACATTACTACCCCTTGGCAATCTCATTCTGGTATGGGCTCAGATTGCGAGTCAGGAGCTTCCTCAGAGAAGAAGGTGGTTCCCTTCTATACAACAGTTCTAAGATAGCCTATTTGTTAATTCTCCAGATTGAAATGTCTGTGTACTGTTTTGTGTTTCTAGGTTTTTAAGTGGAGTGGAGAAAACTCATATTTCATCAATGGAGACATAAGTTCTTTAGAACTTGGTGGTGGAGGGTAAGACTTTTGTTGCTCTTTTGCCATTTAACCTGAGAAAATGTCTATTTTAATGCAAGGTAATTAAAACGTTAATGATAGTTGACTTCAATTAGTCTGTGTGCATAGAATTATTAGGATAGTGAACTAACACTTGACCCTAAGAATCAAAGATAAAATTATTCCTGTGCCTATGTTAGAGACTACTGTCTTTAGGAAAAGTAGGTCATTTAAGTGAAATGCAAGAAATAATGCTCTTTATTGGGCAAGCACTTTTGAGGTTTGTCTGTGACATAAAGGAAAGAAGATATGACAGTGGAAGACAAAAGGATGTCCCTCAGAGGTTGTAAGTATTTAACCATTTTTCTCTTGTTTTTAGGGGACGATTTGGTTTGTGGCTAGATGCTGATTTATACCATGGTCGAAGCAACTCATGCAGCACTTTTAATAATGATATTCTTTCCAAAAAGGAAGACTTCATAGTTCAGGACCTAGAGGTATGGACATTCGAGTGAAATTCAGACTGCCTTAAAATATATCATTAAATAGACTGGGTTGGCTCGGCCCTCCTAAAGCTGGCTGAAGACGAAGCCCCACAGCAGGTGCCCCATCCTATCACAGCGCTTGCTTTCTGCCATCATCTCCGAGCATGATCACATCGCAGAAAGATTCTGAAAGCTACATGTGGAGGGCAGACACTGAAGAAAGGAATTGGAAGTCCAGATTGTCGAAAGACTGTACTTTCCACTTCTTTTGAACCCATATTGTGAAGATTCAGAATGTTTATAGCTGTATAAGGTGAATGCAATTTTTATTTTTGGTAACTGTGAAAAAAAAAGATACTGTGGAAATATATACATGCCTTGTGTATTTATCAGCATCATTTTCATTACCAAAATGTACAGCTATTGTTTGCCACGAAAAGGTTGGTCTCAGAAAAATTGAAAGGACATAGCACTTAAAGGGAATGTATGATTTTTTTAATCTGTTTTATTTATTATTTCTAGTATGTTGCTAGAAATGTGTTGGTAGGTTTTTTTTTTCTTTTAATGTGTCAAATCTTGAAATAAAAAATTTTGTGCTATGTTTTGGGAACAAATCCTTGATTTACACAGCTTTCTATTGAATTTTCTTTGCCCTGATTGTTTAGGGTGATAGGTTTTTGGAAGTAAATATATCTATATCTATATACGCACATATATATATACACACACATATAGATATAGATATAGCTCATTATCAATGTTTATTGATTTGACTCTTATAGGCCAGCTTCTCTTGTTTAGCCATTAAGAGGTACACTGAACATATTTGTGCAAGGAAGAATATACCATTTGTCTCTCACATCATAAACTGGTATTTATAGAAATGGAAACCTTTATGAACAGGCCCTGCTTCTGAAAGGAAAATGTTTCACTTTTTATGAAATCGTGTGTGTTAATAACAAAACCTTAATTTTCATGGGTTTTTTTTGGCACACAACTTCTCTCAAGCAGTTATATTAGTAGGAAGGCCTGTCTTAAAAGGAACTAAGTATTTTAATTTCTCCATTTTTAAGTTGAAATGATAAATGTCAAATTAGGCCAATTTTCTGGGTTTCTAGAATCTTCTTTGAGACAAATCAGTGCAAAGAAATACATTCTATCCCAAATTGGAACAAAATGAAATCTATTTTTTTTAAATATTAACCCAGTTTCACACCATAAAACATCTTCTGTTAAAAAAAATAATAAAACCTTGTTGAAAACTTAACAAATATCAGTAATTGTCAGACTTTTATGAAAGCCAAAGACTGCTAATAGAAAAAATTTAAATAATAGCCAAAGCTGGTAGTCATCACAAATTATTTCCCCAGTGATCTTTGAAAGGAAAGTTAATAATGAAGAGCATTTACATCTCTATTTTTAAAAAGAAAATACTCATAGAATATTTCTTTTAGCTTACTCTCCTATTTTAAACTATTTGTAAGAGAACAAACCAATTGACAGATCAACAATTATTATACTACACTCCCATTGCTATAAAATTTTAAATCTGTAGCCCAGACATACTTTTCACACATTCTCCTTTTTTGGTTAACAACATATTGGCAATTTAACCTTAATCTAGTCATTCAAAAAATGAGTTGATGGAGATACCAGAAATCTCTTGATCATGTTTACCATTTATGCCATTTGTAACCATATGCTATTAATGAACAAAATGGTCATTTCTTTTGCATATAGCTTACTCTTATCTAGTTGAGTCTATGATACTATACTCATGAGAGTATATCCAGATGCTTTGTTCTCTATTTAAAACAGTATTGTCCAACAGAAATGTGTGACCCTTCATTTATGGATATTGACTATATGTAATGCAGTGCTATCCCAATATTTTCAATAAAGGAAATTACGCATTCAGTGTGATTCTCTTTTCCAAGGATTCATTTATCATGTATTTATTGGGCACAAGTGCCTCAGAATCGTTGAAGCTTTGTGCCAGACAAAGCTTGCTGTGAGTTATGTTTACACTCTTATGTGGTCTGTTAAGCATTCTATAACATTTAAAACAAACAATATACATACCTTCATTTAAAATGCTTCACTGTTGAAAATGCTGATTGATTATCTGAGCAGCGGGTCTTGCTTCAGCCAGGGCTGCCATAAAACCTTCTTTATATGAAAAAATAGCAAAATGTTATATGAGCCACAGTATGATAAGGCATGCCAAGATGAGGGGCTTTTTACTTGTATGAGACAGTGATGAACTACCCAGGACTAAACTAAGTCCAATGCTTAAGTTTTCCTTGCTGCTCCAGAAACTCTCTCTTCATTCTCTGAAGTCACCTTCCTATTCTCTTGTCAGTTTCTGGAAACTGCTCCTGTAATAGTTGCTAAAGACAGCGTTTAGATTTATCTCCCAGTTTCATCTTTGTTCTTATTCTTTCTAGCTATTTTATGAATACTAACCTTTTTACTTCTGTCTCAACCTATTTCCCAATTTCCTTGAGGGCTGTTTTCCCTTGGGATAACTTTCTGACCCCTAGCTCCTACAGATCAAGGTGCCAGGTGATCTTCATTGTTTCTTGATCCCTCACTCCTTTTAAGTTCATATCAAAAATCAGGTGTGGGGGAAAGCAACCAAATGTTTGTTCAGACTGTGTTGAAAATGATTTGGATTCATTCCCATTCTACAGACTACCAGGGAGACCATAAACCACTGTGAAATATGTTCTTAGTTTGATCTCTTGATTCCTAAGTTTTAGAGAAGACAAAGAAAAGAACTATTCTGCTTTTTGCATTGAGAATCCAGTAAAGCAGAAAGTGGTTTCCAGATCAATGTCATTCTCAAAATAACTAACACAAACAGCAGTTTAGCCAGATAGAAAAAGATAAAGAGGTCAGGAGCCCAGGGAAGTTCTAGAAAACTCAAGATAAGGACACTTGCCCCTATATAATATCGGAAGTATCTGTGACCACTTTCTGATGCCCAGTAGGAGCAGATTTTCTTTCTCATCTAGAGGAATCTTTACCCCTGCGCACTATATCCTCTTTTCATCTCCACTGTCCATAGTGACCTCCTAATAGAAGATCCACCATTACTGAAAAAATTAAACCCTACAATTCACACCAAATCCTAAGGTCTCATTCCCTAACCAATTTCAGAATCTCTATTGATTCAGTATCGCATTTAGGGCTTTCTTGATCTGCTCAATCAAGATATAACAATAGTGCTTCTTAATAGACACATTTCAAGTCTTTTATTTACCTTTTCGATGAGCACTTCCCAGTAGAACATTCTGTGATGATGGAAGTTTTACACTAATTTCACTGTACTTAATGGTAGCCACAAATTAGCAAATAAATATGTTGACCACTTAAAATGTGCCTTGCGTGACTGCATTTTAAATTTGAGTAACTACATGTGACAATCAGTGGCCACATATTAAACTGCACAACCTTAAGTCAAGATGTTAATGCCAAGACTTACTTCTTCCAGCTATGAGTTCCTCAGTAGAAGACAACTTCAGTTTCAGGCACTTTGATTTGTCTGCCATTATTGACCTTCCTGGAGCTTGGCACTTCTAAGGTTTTAGTGTGTCCTCCTTTCCCACTATTTAGTGAGCAAACCAAAAAGATGAGTTGCCTGAGAGTCTTTGATAGTGATTAATACTGATTTGTTACTACAGGATTACTGATATAATCCAAGGCCCAAGTTTAGACAAGTGTAACCCCTTGTCTCAGAGAAAGTTTTCCTTGTATAACCATTACACAAATTTTGTTCCTATTCTGGAGATTCCAGCTCTGTAAGGAAGTCATATCTATTCCTTACCAGGCACCTATCCACAATGCTTTATGGAATGTGGAATAGTAAACCTGAAAGAAAACTGAACATCCAGCACGGGACCATCAGGAATAATAGAAACCACCAAGACTGTTTCACACAGTGCTTGCTGTTCGATGATCAATCATCCTCACCAAGTTAACCAGCTAGGATACCCACTTGTCACATGTATACTCAGAGAACCCACCTGCACATACAGAAAGTTTTCAGTATCGTCTTGTTGCAATGAAGAGCAATCCGGAGCCGTGGGGTAACTTTTCTTTTCTGCAGCAGTGCTTTATTTTCTCATACACAAGGGCCACATGGAAAACTGGTACTGGGAGGATCAAGGTTCCAGGCCAGCACAGAAAGAAAAATCTACAAGACCATCTCCACAGAGGGAATCTGGACATGATGGATGTGTGCCTGTTGTCTCTCCAACTACTGGAAGCCTAAAGTAAGTGGATCTTGGTTAGGGTTACTTACAATTTTGTGACTGGCTGTTTTAACTTATGTTACCACAATGTTTTGCAAAAGTAATTGCACCAAAATATCTCACTCATGATACTATACGACTTCTTAATTTTGGCCTTCCCTTGAATACTGGTGAAGGTGAACATTTTTAAATATGTTTCTTAGTCATTCATATTTTCTCCTTCTGTGAATTGCTACTTTTCCTCTCTTCTGCCTAATTTTAGATCTATTATTATTACTAGTGTATTTGGCTATCCTATCGATTGAACTCAGGGTCTCATATTTGCTAGGCAAAGACAATACCAATTGAGCCATACTCCTAGTCCTGTCTGTCTGCTTGAAAAGAGTCACATGATATCCTTGCTATTATGGCCAATAAAAGACAGTAGTCAATATATCAATCCTATTTATAAACTGAAGAGGAGAAATAGTTAACATGATATCAGATGATCTCAGGCTCTACAAAGGTATTGTCTTGTCTCCCTTAAAGTGATGATAGTAAGGAAATAAATATGAAATGAGTTGGTCAGTGTGGTTTTGCTTTACAGAATGGACATGTATATTCACTTATTTGGTTATATGATTTATTTTTAAGAAGTAGCATCATGCTGGATACTGGTGACTTGTGACTGTAATCCTAACTATCCAGGAAGATGAGATATGATCAGCTTTGTTTGGGGCCATTTCAAGCAGACAAATCTAAGAGACTCTTATCTCCAACTAGCCAGCAAAAAGCTAAAAGTAGAGCTGTGGCTCAAGTGGTAGAGCAACAGCCATGAATAGAAAAGCTAAGCAAATGAGGGTCTGAGTCAAAGCCCCAGTACCAGCATAAAAATAAGTAATGAAACAGCAGGATGGGGCTGGGAATGTAGCTTAGTGGCAGAGTACTCACCTAGCATGCATGAAGCCTTGGGTTCAATTCCTTAGTACCACATAAACAGAAAAAGCTGGAAGCGGAACTGTAGCTCAAGTAGTAGAGTGCTAGCCTTGAGCAAAAGAAGCTCAGGAATATTGTCCAAGCCTGAGTTCAAGCCCCAGGACTGGCATAAAAACAACAGCATCATGTAGAGCAACTGGAATATTTTCTGAGTACTTAGGGACTGCGTGATATTCTAAGCACTTTACATATATTGCCAGTCTTCATATTAACTTGTGATAATCTCTAGACAGATATGACTATTAATTTTTAATGAGGTGGAATCACTACAAAATGGTTTCTTAAAGCATCAAATTGAGATAAGCCAATTCCTTTTTCCACAGTGTTAACCCACAAGCATAACCACAGTAAAGAACAAGTTGGTTGGGGAGTTCCCAGAAGCAATTCAAGGAATTGGTGGCTCGTTGAGTGTGCTAGGTAGGAAAGAATATGACCATGGGGTAACTGAAAATGTTGAAAGATAAAAATCAGAAATTACTAGGAAACTGTGTAGAAATGTAATTATGAAATCCTGCCACTCCATAACTAATGCTAAAGTAAGTTAATAAATAAAACTGAATTTAAAAGTTACTAGGAAATTAATGAGTAAAAAGGTGCTAATACAGGTACAAGTGTAAAAGGTCATTGAATTTCAGGTTTATGAAGAGTCTTGGTGGCTTAACATGAGGAATTTGCCAAATGAATGAATTGTATCAGAAAAGCACATAGGCAAAGGGTGTTAGAACTCTGATGTTGGAGAGAGTGGGAGTCCTGGGCTGGTGTAAGATGGTGGTAAGAGTCAGGCGCTGAAGATCTGGACCCCAGAGAATGATCTAAAAGTCAGTGCATATTGGCACTATGCTTCATGCTACAGAATGATGCTCCAAAAAGCAAGCAGGGCATTGGGATTTGCATATGTGGGAATGAAATCACCTGGAGCTGGCACAGAGAAGCTAGGAAAATACCAACCTTGCTTCCAAATCTCTCTCAGTATGTTGAGATGTGGGGAAAACAAGCAGATTTTGTTTGTCAGGCTTCAACAGATAGTGATGATGTTCTCAGAGAAAAGGCAAATTTCAGGTAAAGCGGGAAAATAAATGTATGGCTATGTGAGAAGGAGGAGGAGGAAGAGGCGGAGGAGGAAGAGGAGGATGTTGATAACTCTTTACAATGAAAATGTGGTTTTACAGTGGAAAGAGTTCCAAAGGAGGTTAGCAGAAAAAAAGTTTGAGAAAAAAAGAAGCAAAGGGAAGTTTAGACTTAAGTTACATATGTTCACTAACCCCTAAGCAAGCTAAGCAACCTTAGGAGCAAAACGCCTATGTTAACACACCTTCAAACACACCTTCTTTCATTTCCTTTCACCTTAACTTTTTTTTCTTTCTTTTTTCTTTTTGTATTGTGAACATACTGTACAGAGGGGTTACAATTACATGGGCAAGATAATGAGTACATTTCCTATCAAGCATTGTAGCCTCCTCCTTTGTTTACCCTTCACATCCCCTCCCAGCCTGCCCCCGCCGCCCCACCCAATCCTTCCCCCCCCCCCCCCACCAAAGTTGTAAAGTTCGTTTTCGACATGACAACTTGTACTTCTCATTGCTGCAATGGGTCCACCTGTATCCTTATTTAAATGACTTGTTTTTCCTCTTCCCCTCCACAAATTTTTTTAATTTAATTTATTTTTATTTATTTATTTTTTTTGTGAACATA